TATATATATATTAATGTGAAATTATTGCCTTGATATTATTAATATTTAGATGAATTTTATGAAATTTTAGTTGATTTTATATAATTTTCATTTTTTGTGTAGGAAAGAACTTAATAGGAAGAAATCCTAATTTTTAGGCATAAATTACAGAGATCAAAAACTTAAGGATCAACTTGTGCAGAATCTAGAAGTCAGGGACCAGGACTATTAGTTTACCATTACAGAAATTGCTAAGAAGGCCAAAAAAACCGACACGCTGATGGCATTGTGCGTTGAACAGAACAGAAAGTGTCGGAACATTGTTGAAGGTATTCACCCCTCAGCGTTTTTCACAAAATTCGTGTTTAATTGGTTATTATGGGTGTGAGTCCCGCTTCTAGTTCAATTAGGATTTCTAAAATCTTATAAATGTTCATCCAAATTCAGAATTGAGAGAGCGAAATGAGGCTAGTGGCAACCCCTTTTTGGGTATTATTAGAGATCAAGATAGAAGTTTCATCAACAATAAAATATCAAGAAATTTAATTTTCTCAAATTGAGTTTTGTTTTTCTTTTCATTATTTTTATCTATTGTTTGACATTCGAATGTTCATAACTATAATTTTAGGTTTTACTATTTTTATTATGAATTAATTTATTCTATTAGGGTTACGATGTAGCCTAATCAATTCAATATACATTTTGTGATTTTATGTTTTCAATTAAAGTTATTCACACGAGAAGTTTATATTATTGAATTTAATGCATTGGAAGATTGATCACTTTTCAATTGATTTAGTAATTTATACATGAACTTGAAAAAGAATTGCGTAAATTAAACCAATAATAATATAAACTGTGTGCTAGACTATGAGACCGAGAGATAATTAACTCGCATGTGTTAGTGGAGAAAGAGAAAAGAGTTAGGAGCTCCGCCTTCTTAATCTAGAGGTTTCCACAGAATTTAATGCTTATTAATTTACTTAAAATTATATAAAGATATGATTAATTTGACAAACAAGTGAAGGATTAACTTGACTTGAGAAAGCTGGTTAATTAATTTAAGGAAATCTGCCATCACATGCGATAACACTCAACAATTTGGTAATCCAGAATTTATATTGATTGATTATGATGAAGTCAAGCTTTAGTATTTCATATTTTGGTTAGTTTTATTTTAATTGTTAGTCACTTTTTGTTATTTTAATTAAAATTCCCACTTTTCGATTGTTCAAATAAATTTAGATTAATTATTTTGGTACTTAATTAGACACCATTCTCGTGAATTCGACACTCTTCTTATCATTATATTACTTGGAGCGACTAGCACACTTGCTATGGTGATTTTAGTGCATCAAGCTTTTGGCGCTGTTGCCGGGGATTGTTGATTTAATTAATATCGGAGTTGGTTAATTCTAGATTTAATTTGAACGTTTTCTTTTCTTTTATTTCTTTACTTTGAGTTTTTTCTCCTTTTTTTTTTTGTTTTTGTTTTTGTAAGGCTAACTATGGATTGAGTTGTCTTAAACACTGATGTGAATTATCAATGGCTTGCACCAGAGACAAGGGCACAAGTTGAAGCAATAACTATCAATTGGGATGCAAAAATTGACAATGATGAACTTGAACGATTTTAAGCAGTCATCGAAAGGCAAAAATTAAAGAAGGCTCTAATAAAATGATTAAATATCACTTGTCAATGGTGTGGATTTGACCATTTTAGTTCTGATTGCTTATTTAAAC